TGGAAGAAGGAGCACAAGAGGGATCCCTTTCTACTTCTTTTAATTCTAAAACCAGGATTTTATTTTTTTTTTTTCCCGGAGACCATAAGATTGGCCACTTCTCACAGTGAGAAGTGGAGCTTAGATGTGTGACTGTAGACTATCACACCGTCGGGACGCGGTCTCCCTGTCTCCCCCCCCCCCCCCACTGTTCCAATACGGCGCACACATGGCAAAAGGCTAATTGTCTTTTCTGTGAAGAAAAGGGAATGAACAGCGGTTGGTCATGCAGAAATCTGTACAACAGAAATATATCTCTGCGTAGGAGAACAAGCATGACCGACAATCAGATGTTCTAGTAATTGCTCTGCAGTTAACCCCACACAGTCTCACTGTCACACGTAATGATAAATCTTCTCTATGGAGCCCGATTAGAATCCATGTCTAAAAGCTGTTCGGATGCTGCACACCGGCCGGGTAGTCTGACTGTTTACTCCCTGTGTTGGGTTATCACATAAAACTCCTCTGACATCTCTCAGTAAAGGACATGTATAGGCGCCATCCAAATGTACCCCTAAAACATTTGGTCTAAACACGCCCCCTACGACCGGAAAAAAATAAAATAAAAAAGTCAGCAGCTACAAAAACTTATTGCTGACTTTTAAAATACAGACACTTACCTGTCCCTCGGTCCAGCGGTGTCCTCACCATGTCTGGTTTCACCGGCCGTCTTCTCTCCCTGGGTCCGGCAACTTCAGTGTGGGCACCCGGCAGTGTCAGCTTGCGGCTTCACAGTCGGGTGCCCACTACGCATGCGCGAGAAGCACTGCACTTTGTGAATGGTCCTGTAGTCTTCTGGGACCTGTCCCTCGGTCCAGTAGTCCTCACCATGGCTGGTTTCACCACCCGTCTTTTCTCCCCGGCACCGCCATCTTCAGTGTGGGCACCCGGCTGTGACAGCTTGCAGCTTCTCAGTCAGGTGCCCACTGCGCATGTGCACTTTGTGAATGGTCCTGTAGTCTTCTGGGGCCTGTCCCTCGGTCCAGTAGTCCTCACCATGGCTGGTTTCACCACCCGTCTTTTCTCCCCGGCACCGCCATCTTCAGTGTGGGCACCCGGCTGTGACAGCTTGCAGCTTCTCAGTCAGGTGCCCACTGCGCATGTGCACTTTGTGAATGGTCCTGTAGTCTTCTGGGGCCTGTCCCTCGGTCCAGTAGTCCTCACCATGGCTGGTTTCACCACCCGTCTTTTCTCCCCGGCACCGCCATCTTCAGTGTGGGCACCCGGCTGTGACAGCTTGCGGCTTCTCAGTCAGGTGCCCACTGCGCATGTGCACTTTGTGAATGGTCCTGTAGTCTTCTGGGACCTGTCCCTCAGTCTAGTAGTCCTCACCATGGCTGGTTTCACCGACCGTCTTCTCTTCCTGGCGCCGGAAACTTCAGTGTGGGCACCCGGCTGTGACAGCTTGCGGCTTCACAGCCGGGTGCCCACTGCGCATGCGCGAGAAGCGCTGCGCTTGGTGAATGGCCCCGTAGTCTTCTGGGACCTGTCACATGTTCCAAAAAACTACGAGGAGGGAGGGGGGAGGAGGACAACTTCCGCTTCCGATTGCCTAAGCGATTGCAGCGGAAACCTGTCAAATGATCCAAATGTACCCCTAAAAAACATTTTGTCTCAACACTCCCCCAAAACCTGAAAAAAAAAAAAAAAAAGTCAAGAGCTACAAAAACTGTATCTGCTGACTTTTAAAATAAAGCCACTCACCTGTCCCTTCGGTCCAGCAATGTCCTCACCACGGTTGGTTCCACCGTCCGTCTTCTCTCCCCGGCGCCGGAATCTTCAGTGTGGGCACCCGGCTGTGACAGCTTGCGGCTTCACAGCCGGGTGCCCACTGCGCATGTGCGAGAAGCGCTGCACTTTGTGAATGGCCCCATAGTCCTCTGGGACCTGTCATTTTTCCCAGAAGACTACGGGAAGGAGGGAGGGAAGGACAACTCTGGGGAAGTGGGAGCAGGTACCTGTCACATGTCCCAGAAGACTATGGGGAGGAGGGGGGGGGGGGTGGGGGAAGTACAGCTTCTGCTTCCAATCGCCTAAGCGATCGCAGCGGAAGCCTGTCAAACGATCCAAATGTACCCCTAAAACATTTTGTCTCAACACTCCCCCAACCACTGAGGATGCCGGAGGGTATGCTCCCATTTGAAAAAAATGTTGAGTTATGGGACTGCCTGCAAACGCGTAACGTCTAGAATATATAAGATCCTAAGGGCTCATGTACACTGCAGCTGAAAAACTGACATTCGGGAGCTATTCAGCATTTTTTTCTCAGCAGCCCCTGAACTCCCTAATGTTTTCCTGTGTTCATGTACACATCGTCGTTTACAGGCAGTTGAGTTTACAGTCATTTTTTGAATGCAGAAAACATAGTAGATTTTATCAGCGTTTCAAACGCAAAACGCTTGTAAACACAGCTAAATGCGGCAAATCACGTTTATCAGCGCTTGCAAATTTTTTTTTTTAACTCTTCCAGGTCCCGATGCTGTCCAGAGCCTTTTTTCATCATGAAAAATGCATGCAAAGAGTTTTCAAGGTACTCAGATGGACAAAACACTGAACACAGGATGTTCCTACCAAGCTCGTCACACATTGTAATAACCAATTCACACCTCAGACCTCTCCCACCCTTGGAAACAAGATATGTTAATGACCATTCACACCTCAGACCTCTCCCACCCTTGGAAACAAAAGATATGTTAATGACCATTCACACCTCAGACCTCTCCCACCCTTGGAAACACAAGATATGTTAATGACCATTCACACCTCAGACCTCTCCCACCCTTGGAAACAAAAGATATGTTAATGACCATTCACACCTCAGACCTCTCCCACCCTTGGAAACAAAAGATATGTTAATGACCATTCACACCTCAGACCTCTCCCACCCTTGGAAACAAAAGATATGTTAATGACCATTCACACCTCAGACCTCTCCCACCCTTGGAAACAAAAGATATGTTAATGACCATTCACACCTCAACTTCCTCATGAAGACCCCCTGCCAGGTGACCTTAATGACTCCCTCCACCAGACCCCTTTCCCACCCTTGGAAACAAAAGAAATGTTAATGAGCAACTCACACCCAAGTTAATCTCAACACATACTGCTGTCTCTGCTTCTACTTTCTGTATTTCTGTTAAACAGTCTGTAATAGTTAATAATTTACCACTTTTCAGTGCATTTGGGAGGTTCTCCTGTGCTTATATTTAAAAAACCCTTCTAAATGCAAATGTGCATAAACGCGGTACGCAAACGTGGCTCAACTGACGTTTTTTAACCTACGTTTTCCAGCAGTCAGTTTCCATCATTCCGAAGTGTCCCGTGTACATGGAGCCTTACTGAATGGATGGGGCCTGAAAAACCAATATTCTTAGGGCTCATGTATGCGGGGCGTTTGGAAATTCTTCTGAACGATGGAAACTGACTGCTGGAAAACGTAGGTTAAAAAATGTCAGTTGAGCCACGTTTGCATACCGCATTTATGCACATTTGCATTTAAAAGCGTTTTTTTAAAGATAAGCACAGGAGAACCTCCAAAATGCCCAGAATGCACTGAAAAGTGGTAAATTATTAACTATTTCAGACATTTTGAGAGGAATAGAGAGAGCAGAAGCAGAGAGAGCAGTATGTGTTGAGATGACCTGTCTTTTCTGGTTGTATTCACTATGGATCCCATCATGAGCATAATGCGGCGCGTTCTACCATTGTATCCTTCACGCCAAACCTGGAACTGACTGTGCTGGTGTACCGGGTCCATTTGAATACATGGAAAATGCTTTGCATGTCTGATGATGAAAAAAGGCTCCGGACAGCATCTGTACATGGAACAGTTAAAAAAACGCTTCTAAAACGCAAACGCTTATAAAACGTGGTTAAACGCCTTTACACGCATTTACAAGCATTTGAAACGCCGGTAAAATCTACTCCTGAACACAAGTTTGGTGCGTTCAAAAAAACGACTGTAAACTCAACTGCCTGTAAAGGACGATGTATACACGGACACAGAGGAAAACATTAGGGAGAGTTCAGGGGCTGCTGAAAAAAACGCAGAAAAGCTGAACAGCAGTTTATCAGCTGCAGTGTACATGAGCCCTTATAGGTAAAGGGAATATCCGATTGTCTCTCGGGGGATCAGGAAGGCATTCTTTCCCCTGCAGAAGCAAATTGGATCGTGCTTTGCTGGGTTTTATTTTCCTTCCTCTGGATCAACTGTGGGTGGAGGATAACTTTTTTTTTTTTTTTTTAATTGATGAACTGGTCTTTTTTCAGCCAGACTAACTAGATCTCAGCTAAGGCGGAGTAGCGGCAGGGGTGGGGCTAACAAATAATACATTACAAAAAAATAGAAAGAAAAAGGGAAAAAAAAAATCCAGAATTTTGCTTGCTTGGGGGAGCGCTACAGCAGAATTAAACCTAAAAGGGGAAGTTCCGCTTTAAGGACTGCTTCCCCGCTCCCCATTAAGGATTGGCACCTTTGGGGAGTGGAGGGGAGCTGGTCCCCAAATTTGACAGGTACACGCTCCCACTTCTGGTCCGATCGCCTAGGCCAGTGATGGCGAACCCGTGGCACGCGTGCCACAGCCGGCACGCCGAGCCTTATCTGTGGGCACGCCAGGAGAATCCAGCGGCGCGCTGTCTTCCCGGCTGTAGTGTGCGTGACAGCCGGGTCCCAAGTGCGCATGCACAAGAAGCAGTGCTCTTTGTGAATGGTAAGGCGGTACCTGGGACACATGACAGATCCCAGAAGCCGCCAGACCAATCACAAAGCGCAGCGCTTCTCGCGCATGCGCACTGGGCATCCGGCTGTCCGCCCACACTACAGAAGCCGGGAAGACAACGCGCGGCTGGATAAAGGAACAGGTAAGATAAAAAAAAAAACTCTGCGGAAGTAAGAGCGGGTACCTGTCAAATTCAGGTACCCGCTCCCCCTCCCTCCCCAAAGGTCAGCAGTCATCCCTGTGCTGTCCGCAGTCTCTGGTCATCCCTGTGCTGTCCGCAGTCTCTGGTCATCCCTGTGCTGTCCGCAGTCTCTGGTCATCCCTGTGCTGTCCGCAGTCTCTGGTCATCCCTGTGCTGTCCGCAGTCTCTGGTCATCCCTGTGCTGTCCGCAGTCTCTGGTCATCCCTGTGCTGTCCGCAGTCTCTGGTCATCCCTGTGCTGTCCGCAGTCTCTGGTCATCTCCTGTACTGTGTCCGCAGTCTCTGGTCATCCCTGTACTGTGTCCGCAGTCTCTGGTCATCCCTGTACTGTGTCCGCAGTCTCTGGTCATCTCCTGTACTGTGTCCGCAGTCTCTGGTCATCTCCTGTACTGTGTCCGCAGTCTCTGGTCATCTCCTGTACTGTGTCCGCAGTCTCTGGTCATCTCCTGTACTGTGTCCGCAGTCTCTGGTCATCCCTGTACTGTGTCCGCAGTCTCTGGTCATCCCTGTACTGTGTCCGCAGTCTCTGGTCATCCCTGTACTGTGTCCGCAGTCTCTGGTCATCCCTGTACTGTGTCCGCAGTCTCTGGTCATCCCTGTACTGTGTCCGCAGTCTCTGGTCATCCCTGTACTGTGTCCGCAGTCTCTGGTCATCTCCTGTACTATGTCCGCAGTCTCTGGTCATCCCTGTACTGTCCGCAGTCTCTGGTCATCTCCTGTACTGTGTCCGCAGTCTCTGGTCATCTCCTGTACTGTGTCCGCAGTCTCTGGTCATCTCCTGTACTGTGTTCGCAGTCTCTGGTCATCCTTGTACTGTGTCCGCAGTCTCTGGTCATCCCTGTACTGTTAATTAGTTTGCACTTCTGTACGAGTTGTTTTTTCTAAACCAAAAGCTCGATATTCAGGTTTCATTGCAGTGTTGGCACTTTGAAAGAAATAAGTTGGTTTTGGGTTGCAGTTTGGGCACTCGGGCTCAAAAAGGTTCGCCATCACTGGCCTAGGCGATCGTACACGGAAGGTGTCCTCCTTCCCTGTAGTCTTTTGGGACACGTGACAGGTCCCAGAAGACTACAGGACCATTCATGAAGTGCAGCGCTACTCGCGCATGATGCGCAGTGGGCACCCGGCTTTGAAGCCGCAAGCTGTCACAGCTGGGTGCCCACACTAAAGATGCCGGCTTCCTGGAATACAGGCCGGCCGGTGAAATGAGCTGCAGGGGACACACCACGGGACCGAGGGACAGGTGGCTGTTTTTTTAAAAGTCAGCAGCTACAGTTTTTGTAGCTGCTGACTTTAATTTTTTGACAGGTGAGTGGAACTCCGCTTTAAGGCCGGCCACACATGGGTTGAAATTCAACTGATTTTTCACCCGAAAATCAGACCTAAGAATAATCGGCGGATTTTCGCACTGTTAGTGGGTCAATGGCACCGGCCGATTTTCATGGCTCCTCCCCTTGTCGGTGATTAGGCATGTTGGAAAATTCGTGAAAAACGACCGATTTTCGACTCAATGATGGCCAAATCGTACGATCGTTTTTCCGAAAAGAATATGCGCATGAGCCGTGACCTGGAAGGAACAGAAGTTCTGTCTGTTATATGGGGTGAACTTTATAACTCGGTCGGCCGATTTTCGAAATCATTGATGGCGCCATCGGATTACCGAGCGAACAACGTTTTCGATTTTTGGATGAAAAATCGTTCGGAATTCGAACCATGTATGGCCTTAGTTTTGCATCAGTTTAGCTTTGCTTTTATTGTTCCCAATTAGCGGCCGGCGAGCGTATATACGGCGAGCTACAGAAAGTCACAGCAATCAAATCACAGGATTTGTAGAAGAAAAAGCAAACAAAAAGCAGAGGGGAGAGGGGGAAGGAAAAGTAAAAGGAAGGCAGAATTGTTTGTTTCATTGCTGTCTAGAGTGCAGTAAAGATGTTGATTGAGTACAATGCTTAGCGATAGAGAAATATGACATTTAATAACCGCGATTACGCTACCGTTTCCATCAACATCCGCGCCGCAAATCCTCTCCCCCTAAAGGAATCACGCTGATGGAATTTATACGCAGAGGAAGGCTTCTCTTTCCAGGCAAAGCGGCCATTATCATGTTTATGTTTCCGTCTCGCCTTAAATTATTTAACATTGATGGTAAACAGGTTTTTGCCGCGGCTTTTGTGCATCCGTAATAAGCCGCCAGCGTGCGCGGTTTCCTCTGATATATGGGACAGGCGGCGCTATCTCGTTTTCCGCTTATGGCGGTTTAATGCCCAGTACAAAAGTTTAAGTGTAACAATTTGCAGGAGCATATTTGTATTTTAATGCTGTCGGGTGACAGATGACAGAGCAGCCAGAATTTAGGGAAATGTCTCCCTGAATGTGGGGACAACTGACAAGAAAACAGATTAGAAAGAACCACAGTACTGATATAGGGGCTCCTAAAACCCATCTGCGGACCCCTGCTATACCCCCCCCCCCCCAGGAAACTGCTGCCATTAAACTGATATTAAACGCTATCAATCTCTTATGCCGTAAATGCTTCTCCCTGCCTATCAGCTGTCATGTGCGCTGAGCCACGCACGCGCAGCTCAATGTACATTAAATGCAATTCTAAAGGTTCATTTGTTGGGGGGTAAAATAACAAACATGTCTACACTTACCTGCTGTGTACAGTGGCTTTGCACAGAGCAGCCTGGATCCTCCTCTTCTCGGGTCCCCCGCAGGATCTCCTGGACCCTACCTCCTGTTGGTTGCCCCCCACAGGAAGCAGCTTGAGCCCGGGTTCACATACATGTGGTATATCGCATGTGATTCGCACAAGAACCGCACCGCATTCCTGTGCAAATCTTAAGTGGGGCAGCACAGTGGCTAAATGGTTAGCACTTCCACCTGGCAGTACTCGGGTTGTTGGTTCGAATCCCAACCACGGCATCACCTGCCTGGAGTTTGCATGTTCTCCCTGTGCCTGCATGGGTTTCCTCCGGGTACTCCAGTTTCCTCCCACACTCCAGAGACATGCTGGTAGGTTAATTGGCTCCTGACTAAATTGTCCCTAGTATGTGTATGTATGAATGTGAGTTAGGGACCTTAGATTGTACGCCCCATGAGGGTTCGGGACCTTAGATTGTACGCCCCATGAGGGTTCGGGACCTTAGATTGTACGCCCCTTGAGGGTTCGGGACCTTAGATTGTACGCCCCTTGAGGGTTCGGGACCTTAGATTGTACGCCCCTTGAGGGTTAGGGACCTTAGATTGTACGCCCCTTGAGGGTTAGGGACCTTAGATTGTACGCCCCTTGAGGGTTAGGGACCTTAGATTGTACGCCCCTTGAGGGTTAGGGACCTTAGATTGTACGCCCCTTGAGGGTTAGGGACCTTAGATTGTACACCCCTTGAGGGTTAGGGACCTTAGATTGTACGCCCCTTGAGGGTTAGGGACCTTAGATTGTACGCCCCTTGAGGGTTAGGGACTGATGTGAATGTACAATATATATGTATAAATTGCTGTGTAAATGGACGGCGCTATATAAGTACCTGAAATAAATAAATTTGGTGCAATCATTCACAAATGGAAGAAACACAAAACAAGTGTCAGTCTCCCTAGGTCTGGTGCACCATGCAAGATCTCACCTCGTGGAGTGTCAATGATCATGACAACAGTGAGGAATCATCCCAGAACTACACGTGAGGATCTTGTCAATGACCTTCAGGCAGCTGGGACCACAGTCACCAAGAAAACAATTGGTAACACACTACGCCGACAAGGACTGAAATCCTGCAGTGCCCGCACGGTCCCTCTGCTCAAGAAAGCCCATGTCCAGCCCGTCTGAAGTCTGCCACTGAACATCTGAATGATGCCGAGGAGGACTGGTGGGAAGTGTTGTGGTAAGAGGAGACCAAAATCCAGCTCTTTGGCATCAACTCAACGCGCCATGTTTGGAGGAGGAGGAGGAATGCTGCCTATGACCCCAGAACAACATCCCAACTGTGAAACATGGTGGTGGAAACATTCTGCTTTGGGGGTTTTTTCTGCTAAGGGGACAGGACAACTACACCGCATCAAAGGGACGATGGACGGGGCAATGTACCCTCAAATCTTTGGTGAGAACCTTCTTCCCTCAGCCAGGGCATTGAAAATGGGTGGTGGATGGGTGTTCCAGCATGACAATGACCCAAAACACACGGCCAAGGCAACAAAGGAGCGGCTCAAGAAGAGGCACATTAAGGTCCTGGAGTGGCCTAGCCAGTCTCCAGACCTTCATCCGATGGAAAAATCTGTGGAGGGAGCTGAAAGTTCGAGTTGCTAAACGTCAGCCACCAAACCTTAATGACTTGGAGAGGATCTGCCAAGAGGAGTGGGCCAAAATCCCTCCTGAGATGTGTGCGAACCTGGGGGCCAACTCCAGGAAACGTCTGACCTCTGTGATTGCCAACAAAGGATTTGCCACCAAGTACTAAGTCATGTTTTGTGAAGGGGATCAAATACTTTTTTCCCTCATGAACATGCAGATCAGTCATCATTTGTTAGACGCATTTCTGCTGAATTTGTTGTTGCTATTCTGTCTCTCAGTGTTACAATACACCAAACATTTGATTTTTAGACCGATCATTTCTTTGTGAGCGGGCAAACATTCAAAATCAGCAGGGGACCAAATACACATTTCCTTCACTGTAAGTCACAATAAAAGTCGCACTCCAAAGTTGCACTGGAAATCGTGCGGCTCTGGAGTTGCACAACTGTAAATGAAGCCTGACAGTGGGGTGCCCCGGGCACTCAAGTCGCATAAACATAGTGCAGGAACCTTTTCAAAGTTGCCGTGACTAGGTCGCACAGATTCAAACATGTATCATTGAAAAGTGTTATCGCACCGGGTGACACCAACCCTAGGGACGCCCCTGCCCACGAGGCATTGCAAGGCTGACAGTTGCTAGCATCACTCCCAAAGGTAGAGGTATGATATGCCTTGTAGCTCCGCAATGTCTGGAGGGCAGCAGCTTGGACACCCATGCCTTAGCAGAAGGCTCCAAAACCAGCGATTTTCCACTGCTTACTCAAAAAAGGCAACAATTTAAAAGTGAAAAAAAAAATGCTATGTGGTTTCATATGGTTTCAATGTTCTCCAATGTGGTGCTATATGGTTCAGGTGGTTTCAATGTTCTCCAATGTGGTGCTATATGGTTCAGGTGGTTTCAATGTCCTCCAATGTGGTGCTATGTGGTTCATGTGGTTTCAATGTCCTCCAATGTGGTGCTATGTGGTTCATGTGGTTTCAATGTCCTCCAATGTGGTGCTATGTGGTTCATGTGGTTTCAATGTCCTCCAATGTGGTGCTATATGGTTCAGGTGGTTTCAATGTCCTCCAATGTGGTGCTATATGATTCAGGTGGTTTCAATGTTCTCCAATGTGGTGCTATATGGTTCAGGTGGTTTCAATGTCCTCCAATGTGGTGCTATATGGTTCAGGTGGTTTCAATGTCCTCCAATGTGGTGCTATATGGTTCAGGTCGTTTCAATGTTCTCCAATGTGATGCTATATGGTTCAGGTGGTTTCAATGTCCTCCAATGTGGCGCTATAAGGTTCAGGTGGTTTCAATGTCCTCCAATGTGGTGCTATATGGTTCAGGTGGTTTCAATGTCCTCCAATGTGGTGCTATATGGTTCAGG